TCAGATAGATGCAGAATGTGGAAGAAAGTCTTTTTCAAAGGGACTTATTAATATGTCCTTTACAACATCCATGAAAATACCCACTAGTTCAAAATACTGAGCTTTCAATATACTTGTAACCACACAAAAAAGTTATTAGAGAAGAAATCACTGCCCGTGATAAGCACTTTGGTCATAGTTCTTGAAATCTTTCCAAGATTACTGTAGTGTTTCAAATTAGTATTGTTACCAAAAATGGGATTTTGCAGGAAGTAGATAATTATACAAACTATGGAATTCATTATTGATTACATCATGAAATATATTCATTTTATGGCTTCATGACTTACTTAAAATGGAGGTGAACTTTTCATCTTCTAAAACCATGACTAAGTAAAAATGTGATGTACTTCATTATCTTTAACTTTAAATGGAAAAATCGATACAAATGTTATTTATTTTTAAAAAGACCTCAAAATGTTTCCTTGAAAACATATAAACAGAAAGGCCATTTTATTTTATATAAGGTTAATTGTGAGCCTGATCTTAATCATGCTTATTCATTGAGTTCACTTATTAGATAAGAGCAACTCATCAAAGTCAGTTATTAAAGTCTTAATAGAGAACAAATTGTTGAAAGTTGGCTGGGCCCGGTTGCTCATGTCTGTAATCCCAGCACTTTGGGAGGCTGAGGCGGGCAGATCACGAGGTCAGGAGACCAAGACCATCCTGGCTAACACGGTGAAACCCCGTCTCTACTGAAAATACAAAAAATTAGCCAGGCGAGGTGGCAGGTGCCTGTAGTCCCAGCTACTCGGGAGGCTGAGGCAGGGGAATGGTGTGAACCCGGGAGGTGGAGCTTGCAGTGAGCCGAGATCGCACCACTGCACTCCAGCCTGGGCAACAGAGCGAGACTCCATCTAAAAAAAAAAAAAAGAAATTGTTGAAAGTTAAACAGAGGAGAAGATTTTACGCATGACAAACATTTGTAAAATATACTTTTGTGGGTTTTTTTTTTTTTTTTTGGTCATTGTTTTTGAGACAAGGTCATGCTCTGTCACCCAGGCTAGAATGCAGTGCTGTGAACACAGCTTACTGCAGCCTCAACCTCCTGGGATCAAGTGATCCTCCCCCTTCAGCCTCCAAAGTAGCTGGGACTATAGGCATGCACCACGATGCCCAGCTTATCTTAAAAAGCTTTTTTGGCCAGGTGTGGTGGCTTGTGCCTGTAATCCCAGCACCTTGAGACGCTGAGGTGGGTGGATCACCTGAGGTCAGGAGTTCGAGACCAGCCTGGCCAACATAGAGAAACCCGTTTCTACCAAAAAATACAAAAATTAGCCGGGCATGGTGGTGCATGCCTCTAATCCCAGCTACTTGGGAAGCTGAGGCAGGAGAATCACTTGAACCCGGAGGTGGAATTTGCAGAGAGCCAAGATTGTGCCATTGCATTCCAGTCTAGGTGACAGAGTGAGACTCTGTCTCAATTTTTTTTTTGTAGATAGGGTCTCACTATATTGCCCAGGTTGGGGTCACACTCCTAGGTTCAAGCAATCCTTCTGTCTTGGCCTCCCAAAGTGCCAGAATTACAGGCATGAGCCACCATGACTGGCTGCAAAATACAGTTTTGATATTTGTAATGAGCTATGACTTTGTGTGTTACTCTCATGTTCAATTTCTTAGAGGACTCCCAAAAGTCTGAATTTCATCACAGAATTTTTAATGGTCTAAAGCTTTTTGTACTTTGTTTGTAAAATCATATAACTTCTAAAACTAAATACAATTACGGGTTTCTGTAAGAATAAATGAACAATATTACTTTTCTTTTTAAAAACAAGAGTAGCAAGACATTTAATTTTACAAAAATTCAGGCATTCAAAATATGCTTAGGAAATGAAAGCGTGTTCTCATAATTATTCATTTTGGCAGATTATCTGGAAAATTTATATATAATTCAGACATACACACACACACCATTCACAGTTTTAGCGTCTGTCCTCTGAAGAGCCCCTCCAATTTCCATAGCTCTGAATGGAAAGCGGTTGAAACCACAGTGAGTTGTCAAATTACCAGTAACAGCATTACAAAGATGTGTTAACACGCCTTGAAGTCAGTGGGGTGGTGACTAATACACTGTAAGTAATTGTCCCTTTACAAAACCCCTTTATAAGTGAATCATGAAAGTAAATATTTAGCAACTCTGAAATAAACTTATCTTCATCAAAGTTAGCAGAGTTCAGTTTGCATCAACAAAGAAAATAGAACAATTTATCCATTTAAGTTGCAATGTCAATCCACTTTTTTTTTTTTTTTTTTTTTTTTTTTTTTTTTATTTGAGACAGGGTCTCGCTTTGTCATCCTAGGCTGGAGTACACTGGCACTTTCTTTTGAAAGAATCATTATTTTTCTAAATCTGTGGCTGGCAAACTGTAAATATTCATTGAATATTTTAGGTTTACAAACCAGCCTCTTCCACACAATTTTTTTTTTTTTTTTTTGAGATGAAGTCTTGCTCTGTCACCAGACTGGAGTGCAGTGGTGCGACCTTGGCTCACTGCAACCTCTGTCTCCCGGGTTGAAGTGATTCCTCTGCCTCAGGCTCCCTGGTGGCTGGGACTACAGGCATGTACCACCAAGCCCGGCTAATTTTTTGTATTTTAGTAGAGACAGGGTTTCACCATGTTGGCCAGGATGGTCTCGATCTCCCAACCTCGTGATACACCTACCTTGGCCTCCCAAAGTGCTGGGATTACAGGCATGAGCCACTGCGCCCGGCCTCTTCCACACAATTTAACTCTACTGTTGGTGCACAAAAGTAGCCATAGATAGTATGTAAATAAATGGATGTGACTGTGTTCCAACAAAACTTTATTTATAAGAAAGAGGTGGCAGGCCATAGTTTGCCAATTCCTGTTATAAACGATTTGTCCTGTAAGCTCAAAAGGCAGTATAGCTTATGTGTACAATAAAAGATGTTTAGTGCATGAATACTGACACCTATTTGGGAGCTAGAATTTCTTTTCCCTTTTCTTCTGGGCTTTCAGCTATGCTCCAAGTTGGGTGGGCAGCCATATACACATGTGGCCTCTAAATAAGAAGTGTGGTGGTGTTCAAGGCAATGTGTAAGCAAGCTTGATAACAATACAAAGTGACATGGAGGCAATACATCATCAGATGGAGAGAGGTTTGTTAGAAAAGCTGCCTTGTAAAGAGGCATAAACTTTAAACCTGTGCTGAAAGAAGAAAGGCGGATGTGGCCTTGAATAAATGAATCAGAGAGGGAGTAACTGGAAGGACAATGAGATGAGCAAGGGTGAAGGCAGCAGGGAAGATGAGAATGAACAAACTCTAGGTAGGAATAGGGGAGAATGGTAAGACTTGAGTCAGTGTGGAACAGCGATTAAGAGTCCCGGCTGAGTACAGAGGCTCACCTGTAATCTCAACACTTTAGGAGTCCCAGGCAATCACTTGAGCCCAGGAGTTCGAGACCAGCCTGGGCAACATGGCAAAACCCCCATCTCTACAAAAAATGCCCCTCAAAATAAATTAAAAATAATGGGGCATGATGGCATGTACCTGTAGTCCCAACAACTCGGGAGGCTGAGGTAGGAGGATCTCTTGAGCCCTGGATGCTGAGGCTGCAGTGAACCGTGATCACGCCATTGCACTTCAGCGTGGGTGACAGAGTGAGACCCTGTCTCAAAAAAAACAAAACAAAAAACTGTCTGGGCTCTGCACCCCAAATGACTAGGTTTTTTGTTGTTGTTGTTGTTTTGAGACAGAGTCTCGCTCTGTCGCCAGGTTGGAGTGCAATGGCGTGATCTCAGCTAACTGCAACCTGTGTCTCCCAGGTTCAAGTAATTCTCCTGCCTCAGCCTCCTGAGTGGCTGGGGCTACAGGTGTGCACCACCACGCCCAGCTAATTTTTGTATTTTTAGTAGAGACGGGGTTTTCTCATGTTGGCCAGGATAGTCTTGATTTCCTGACCTCGTGATCCACCCACCTTGGCCTCCCAAAGTGCTGGGATTACAGACATGAGCCACTACGCCCGGCCAAATGACTAGTTTTGAATCCCAACCCTTCTACTAAGAAAGTAGGACAATTTGAGTTGTTTGTCTAAGAAAGACAAATTACTCAAACTTTCTATGCCTCAGTCTTCTCAATGGTAAAATGGGAATAATAATAGCACCTACCTCACAGGATTATTATGAGGATGGAATAAACTAAGGCATGTAAAGCGCCTGTAACAGTGCCTGGCATGTAGTCAGAGCTCGGGAAAATGTTAGAGAATGGGAGTAGAAGGAGAGAGAAAAACCACTCGAGGGCAGCTGTGCTGAGATGGCAAAAAACCGATGCCTAAAATTTCTCAAGTGGAAGGAAATAATTTACATTCCACCCTTCAATGATACAAAACTCCTTCCAGTAAGAATTTCTAGTCATAGCTGCTGCCTAGATATTACTAAAAATTGAAACCCAAGTCCTGAGAATATGGTGTTCTTTCTTACAGCTTTCCTTGGCAACATGTATTTCCCTGAAGACAGAATGCGATCTATAGATTTCTGAGCGTCAATGTATAAAGTGAGATCATTACATATCATGGATAGAGGAAGAGAAAGGAGAACGTGGAACCAAAAATAATTCTCAAATATAAGTTTGGGGAAACCAGCAAGATAGCTGGGATCCCGGGAAAAGAAAGGCTAGTGGGAGTGGGTGGTGACAGAATGATTTGTTCCCAACTGCCAGGCAAACAAAACCATCAACTTCTTTTCTGCAGGTTTGCCAGAATAATTCATACAATTTCTGGAAAATTGGGCCAGGTGTGATGGCTCACATCTTTAGTCCAAGCACTTCAGGGGCACAAGGCAGGAGGTTTTCTTGAGGCCAGGAGTTCAGGACCAGTCTGGGCAACAGAGTGAGATCTTGCCTCTACAAAAATATTTTAAAAATTAGCCAGGTGTGGTGGCCTATACCTGTGGTTCTAGCTACTCAGGAGGCTAAGGCAGGAGGATTATTTGAGCCCAGGAGTTTAAGGCTACAGTGAGCTATGCTCGTATCACTGCACTCCAGCCTGGGTAACAGAATGAGGCCCCTACTCTTTAAACAAACAAACAACTAACAGAGTTTGGATGATGCAGCCAATTCTTTCAGAAACATTTCCTCCAAAAATAATATGTAAATAAGCCATCCTAATCTATTCAAAATCCAGTTCTCTGCAGATGACTCAGAGTGAACTAAGAATGTAGATAGAAGACTTCAAAACTACTGTCTTGAATTCCCCCGTTCCCGCCACCACTTTTAATCTTTCTGGTTGAAACTGGGATGACAAGGTTCACAAAACCACAGATATTGCCAAATTCCCTTTTTGTTCTTTGAGGTTTGATTTCCCACAACCGGTGGTAAATGGAAGGTGAAGATTATTATTTTTTCTTCTGATGAGAAGTAATAATACTCATCTTTCCTGTTGATGTCATTTCCAGGCCATTCCAGCAACAACAATGTCCTTGACAGCAAGAAAAAGAGCATGCTGCAACAACAGAACTGGAGTAAGTATGGAGCAGTCAGCATGGAAGCAGAAGTGCATAAACAGTTATTGCTATCTAAGCGAAGCCACACTGAGTCACTTATATCTACCGAATCACAGTGGGGCTCCGTTGACAGAACCACAGCCTTAGAAACATGCTATTTTTATTTATTTATTTAGAGACAGGGTCTTGTTCTGTTGCCGAGACTGGAGTGCAGTGGTGCAATCTCGGTTCACTGCAACCTGTGCCTCCCGGGATCAAGCAATTCTCCTGCCTCAACCTCCTGAATAGCTGGGACTATGGGTGCGCACCACCACGCCCCAGCTAATTTTTGTATTTTTAGTAGAGACGGGGTTTCAACATGTTGGTCAGGCTGGTCTCAAACTCCTGACCTCAAGGGATCTGCCCACCTCAGCCTACCAAAGTGCTGGGATTACAGGTCTGAGCCACTGCACCTGGCCTGAAACATGCTATTTAGGATGATTATATAGAAATAGAAAAAGTGAGAAGGGTTTTTTTGTCCCATAAACAGAGTCGGCCTTCTGCCCCTTCCTCAGTCTTCGGTGGATTGTCCTTTCCTCAATCTAAAGGTTTTCAAAGAAAGGAGATTTATAAGTCACACCCACAGCTGCAGTCAGTTTCATAATACTCAGATGTGATATTTTTGTGGCGTATATAAAATACTCAGGGGAAATGGACTCAGTTCTCTCATGCAATGACAGACTGGTTTGCTGGGATTAGAATGACAACTGCCCTTATCCAGTTAAATCAAAGGAGCTGCCAGTTTTTTTCCCCCCAAAACATTTAATACCTACCCACTATGTATAAAGTCATAATGAAGTTAAAAGTAAATTAAGATTCATTAACCTGAGTGTCACTCTGCTCAGAACACCTTCAGATACGCTCTCACAAAACCCTTAAGTAGGAAAAAGTAAGATGTGTGTTTTATTCATGAAGGAACAGATGCTCAGAGAAAGTAAATAATTTGCCAGTGTAGCACACTAGTAAGTGGATTTTTATCCAAAACCACTGGAGCACCCCACAATTCACAATCTTTATGCCCTGAACATGGCTATTAAGCAACATAAGGGCTCTCATAGTTCCCTGTGGAAGAGGTAGATTGAAAGCAAGCAGTCACAGTAAATCTGCTTGGCCGAGCTTGAGCTTTCAAAGCAATGGTTCTCAGATGGATGGGAACATTAGGCCGGGCACGGTGGCTCACATCACTTTGGGAGGCTGAGGTGGGAGGATCACCTGCGGTCAGGAATTCGAGACCAGCCTGGCCAACATGGTGAAACCCCGTCTCTACTATAAATACAAAAATTAGCTGGGCGTGGCAGCCCATGCCTGTAATCCCAGATACTCAGGAGGCTGACACAGGAGAATCGCTTGAACCCAGGAGGCAAAGGTTGCAGTGAGCCAAGATCGCACCATTGCACTTCAGCCTGGGCAACAGATGAGTAAGACTCTGTAAAAAAAAAAGACAGGGATAGGGATGTTAGAATCATCTAAAGAGATTTAAAAAATACCAACGCCTGGGTGGCCCCCAGAGATTCTGCATCAGTATTTTTCAAAAGCACTCAAGATAATTCGGCCAGGGGTTAGAACCACTGCTTAAAAAAAAAAAAGCCAGATATTTCTATCCATAATGGAAGATTCATATTATTAAAAATAACCCTTTTTTTCTGACATTTGATATTTACCTAGGATTACAATAATTATGCTAATTAGTTCATCTATTTTTGTTCTGAATACATTTTAGGTATTCAATACACACTAATTTTCAGTTTCCCTTCCCTGTCACTTTTCTTTGTAAATGATAACAATTTGGAATTTGACTTTGTATCTTTTCTATATGGTGCTCACAACATTCTCGACATCCTGAGACATTTCTGAATTCCTGAAATCAAAAATATCAAAACACTTACATAGGCTTTTCCTATGGGTGTATCCTCTAAGAACTGGTGTTTAAGTCGTACCTGGTGTCTTTGAAGCCTAGATAAGACCAAAACATGAGATGAGTGGCAAAGGCTACATCTTGGGAGGAAGGGAAAGGGTTGACCAAGGCTTGTCCCCTGTTTTAACTGTTCCTTGCTTCTTCCCTTTTTCCAGTTCTTAATTTTGCTTCTGAATACAAAATGGTTTTGCTGAATCATTTAAGTGAATCCCCTTTAGGGGAAATACAGATGCCTGGAATCACTTTCTAAAGCCAGGCCTTTTGTCAAGTGATGAGAACTCAAAGATAATACGACCAGGCGCGGTGGCTCACGCCTGTAATCCCAGCACTTTGGGTGGCTGAGGTGGGCGGATCACTTGAGGTCAGGAGTTTGAAACCAGCCTGGCCAACATGGTGAAACCCTGTCTCTACTAAAAATATAAAAAAATAAAAATAAAAATAAAAATTAGCCAGGTGTGGTGGTGGGCACCTGTAATCCCAGCTACTTGGGAGGCTGAGGCAGGAGAATTTCTTGAACCCGGGAGGCAGAGGTTACAGTGAGCCCAGATAGCGCCACTGCACTCTAGCCTGGGAAACAAAGAAAGACTCCGTCTCAAAAAAAAAATTATATATATAATATATAATTATATATAATATACATAATTATGTATATATAATGTATATAGTTATATAGAAATGTATGATTTTATATATAATTATATATTATTTATATAATATATATTTATATAACATATTTGTTTATAATATATTTATATTATATATATTTATTTATATATAATTATATATTATATATATAAAATAGATGGCTAAAAATAAACATCATGGCACTTCTTGATGAGTAAATTTAAGTAACTGCACAAGTCACAGTAGCATGGAAGAATCAGGATTTTAAGTAGACTCCAAACCCATCATTGTGAACGTTTGGCTGCAAGAAGTATAGTGATTAAAGTGCTTCCCAGCTGTGAAAGCCTGACAAGTTTTATCCATCTCCATGATACACAATTTTCTCATCCATAAAATGGAAATAATAATAGTATCTATCTCTTGGGGTTATGAAAAGAATTAAATAATATATGTAAAGTACAACATCCCTCAACACAACTCTATTGGTAATCACCTTATTCTGCACTCATAAAAGGCAGGTCTCAAGAATACAACACACAAATCCTGTGGGGGTTGCATTATTCCCGCAAAGGAAAAGGAAACGCATTCCCTCACTTCATTTCTGCTGATTTCGAAATCATCATCAGTGACTAACAACTTCACTGAAACAATACAAAAGTTTCCTTTTTTTTTTTTCTTTTAGAGATGGGGACTCAATATGTTGTCCAGGCTGGTCTTGAAGTCCTGGGCTCCAGCAATCTGCCCCCCTTGGCCTCCCAAAGTGCTGGGATCACAGGCACGAGCCACCGTGCCTGGCCTAAGAGCTTATTTTTTGAAAAACAAACGCTAACTTTCATTCCATTTCCTATGCCAAATTCCATGCCGCCTTCTGTTCTCATGACTGACTCATGAAATAAAGATGTGTACGATCTTTGTAACACAGTGGTTCTCAACCGGCGGGTTATTTTACCCACCCACCTCCACCCCAAGAGGATATTTGGCAATGTCTGGAGACAATTTTGGTTGTCAGAACTGGGCTGGAGGTGGCAGGGTGTGTGTGGGGGGTGATATTGGCATCTATGAGGTAGAAAGCAGGGATGCTGCTAAATATACTATACTGCACAGGAAAGGCCCCACAGCAAAGTGTGCAAATGTCACTGGTGCTGAGGTTGGGAAGTCCTGTTCTAACTCTATGCTGATGACTGATCACTGCAGGATGCTGGCCACTGGCCACTTAAAGCATCAGGGTCAAATTCACTTAAAGCATCAGGGCCAAACACTTGGGAGCCAAGAGACCAGGCATGAAGATAAAGGTAGTTAAGATCCAGTCAAGGCCAGGCGCGGTGGCTCAAGCCTGTAATCCCAGCACTTTGGGAGGCAGCACTTTGGGAGGCTGAGACGGCGATCACAAGGTCAGCAGATCGAGACCATCCTGGCTAACACAGTGAAACCCCGTCTCTACTAAAAATACAAAAACTAGCCGGGCGAGGTGGTGGGCTGTAGTCCTGTGCCTCGGGAGGCTAAGGCAGGAGAATGGCGTGAACCCGGGAGGCGGAGCTTGCAGTCAGCTGAGATCACGCCACTGCACTCCAGCCTGGCGACAGGAGTAAGATTCCGTCTCAAAAAAAAAAAAAAAAAAGATCCAGTCAAGATTCTATGACGTAGGAAGTACACAAAACAGGGAGGAACTCAATCTCAGTGATGAGAAGAAACAGATGAGCTCAGGAACATGAAAGTTGAGATTTTTCAGAGACAGTGACAAGCCAAAGCATGTTTTTTTGTTTTTTGTTTTTGACAGAGTCTTGTTCTGCCACCCACCCAGAGTGGAGTGCAATGGTGCAATCTCAGATCACTGCCTCCCGGGTTCAAGCGATTCTCCTGCCTCAGCCTCCCAAGCAGCTGGGCACCCACCACTAAGCCCGGCTAATTTTTTGTATTTTTAGTAGCGAGGGGGTTTTGCCATGTTGGCCAAGATGGTCTTGAACTCCTGACCTCAGGGGATCCACCCACCTTGGCCTCCCAAAATGTTGGGATTACAGGCATGAGCCACCACGCCCAGCCCCAACCATCTTTTAGAGAGTGTCATCAAATAGCCCAGACTTTGCCCTCTGCCTTCTTGTATCATTCACACCTAATCAAACTGTGATCTTAAGATCCAGGATTTTAGGGTGACTGGATTAAAAAAAGACTGCATATGCTCCTGAAACTTGAAACAGAGCAGGAACATGTAATAATGTGTGCAAATGGCTCTATTTTATTTTTCAGATGTTTCTTTCATCACTTTTCAGTGTAATCACAGTCATTGGTGCTCTGTATTGCATGCTGATATCCATCCAGGCTCTCTTAGAAGGTCCTCTCATGTGTAATTCTCAAGGCAACAGTACTGCCAATTGTGAATTTTCATTGAAAAACATCAGGTAAGTAAGTTGATTTTCACAGGCTTACTGTCTTACACAGTTGAACTAGTTGGATTAGACTAATGCAGTACTTGTATGCCATGCTTTTATTTGATGCAACTGCTGGGACAGATTCTTAGGAATTTAGTACATTAACGCCAGTTAGCACAACCCCACATAAAAATGGAGGAATCATTAGATTTACAATGCTCTAAAAGGACTTTTAGATATTGTCTAAAAGGACTAGCTGATCTCAAATGGCTTATGCTTCTCTTTCAAAAATCTACAGTTACATATGTGTATATATATTAAAACATTATGCAAATATACACCAGAAACTTAACTTTCATCCATGGAGAATGGAAATAGGGGACTCCCTCGGAGAGTGAAGAGAACATTTACCTTCTACACTTCTGAATTAAATTTGTAAACCATGAGCAAATATTACATTTACAATTTTAAAAACTTAATAAAAACACAATAAATAAAATGCAGAGCCTTGCCTGAAGGCCTAAATGGAACACAGCAACCAATGGATTCATACAGACATGCTATAAATATACTGTATGCATGGGAATGAATCCAAAATTTAAGTCATGTAATAACAAATAATACTGGAGAGTTACATGTACTTAATAAGTGGCTCATTTTAGTCTTTTGAGATCACTCTGTGACTGAATCTAGACACAATTTGTAAAAACTGGAAGAAAAAAACTAATCCATTAGCTATCTGTATAGGCTGCTCAGTTTAGCAAATAATCAGAATTTACTTTTGTAGTTACGTAAAAAAAATTGGTTTTTTTTTCTCCTTTTCCCTTACCTTGCAACATTACAAAAGAAAAGCCCCTCAAATTTTGTGTAGCATATTTGTTTTGAATCAAAACCCAAGGAAGGCCAGGCACAGTGGCTCACACCTATAATCCCAGCACTTTGGGAGGGCAAGGCAGGTGGATTGCTTGAGGTCAGGAGTTTGAGACCAGCCTGGCCAACATGGTGAAACCGCATTACTACTAAAAATACAAAAATTAGCCAGGTGTGGTGGCGCATGCCTCTAGTCACAGCTACTCAGGAGGCTGAGGCGGGAGAATTGCTGGAACCCAGGAGGCGGAGGTTGCAGTAAGCCGAGATCAAGCCACTGCACTCCAGTTTGGATGACAGAGGGAGACTCTATCTAAAAAACAAACAAAGCCAAGGAAAGTCTCCTTACTAATAGACTTGAAGTAAAGGGTTAAAGATTTCTACCACAGATGTTATGCACATTAAATCCCCATGGAACGACAACAGCCCACAGTGTACCAGGCATCAGGCTGAGCTCTGCAGGTAGCAGCACTCAGATAGTCCCAGCCTAGTTGGGGAGATGGGCTAAGCTAGCAAGGCGACAAGAGAGTGATCCTTGGCTTACTACACATTTCACAAAACCACATTTCATGTGCTGAAAATACTGTTGTTTTCCCAGGGTGAATGTCAGTTGCTGGTATCCAGCAATGCAAACTCCCTAGGAACATTCAATTTTACTCTACAATAGACAAAACAAAAAATTATCTTGGGATAGACGTGTTAGGGCTAAAAGTTTCTCATTTTCCATAGCCCTATTAAGAACAGGCACATATCACTTTAATCAGACATACTTAATCAGTAAAAACTGCACATCTGGTTGAAGAGCGGACGCCAGGTGCCGTTCTGCACTAAGAACTGAGCTCATTTAAAGGGTGGTGGGGGAGGCTCCTTAGTTTTTATATCTAGCAAGTAGAAGAGTACCTGAATAAATAAAATAGGTTGAACCACGAAAAACTGCTGACATTCAACTATTTCTGACATCCCAAAACAGCAATTTCATTCTGTTCAACCTAAGAGATGTACTGCAGAGATGCTTGTTAAATGATGGGCTATATAATAGAAGTTTTGTAACTAGTAGAGTATATGGACACATGGTCAGAAATCCTGATGTTATTTCTGGGCACAGTATTTCAAAAGTACATTCTATTTCACTAGTTCTGTTATGGGCACAATGCTACATTCCTTTGGTCAGTGATTTTCTGAATACCTGATTTGTATCTTTTGCTTTTCAGTGACATTCATCCAGAAGACTTCAACTTGCAGTGGTTTTTCAATGACTCTTGTATACCTCCTACTGGCTTCAAAAACCCCACCAGCAACGACTTCATGGCCAGTGGCTGGAGAGCATCTAGTTTGCACTTCAATTCTGAAGAAAACAAACACAGGCTTATCCACTTCTCAGTATTTTTAGGTCTATTGCTTGTTGGAATTCTGGAGCTCCTGTTTGGGCTCAGTCAGATAGTCATTGGTTTCCTTGGCTGTCTGTGTGGAGTCTCTAAGCGAAGAAGTCAAATTGTGTAGTTTAATGGGAATAAAATGGAAGTATCAGTAGTTTGAATAATTTGAGAAGTACACTTGTTTTCCAAGTCATCTTTGAGATGATTTAAAAAATCAACCTTTCACATAGAAAGCATGTTGTGAAATTATAGAAAGCATAGAAATGCATAACACTCTATATTGGTGGTTGATTTGGGAAAGGTGGAGAGAATTTTCAATTAGTTTTGTATCATGCTATTCAAATTTTTTACCTCTTCATTGTGTGTAGCGAAAGGAGAAGAGAGAGAGGATGAGAAGGAACAGAAGTCATCCTGAAAATAAAAGTACAGGACCTTTTTTTTTTGAGACAGGGTCTCAAAAAAGGCCGGAGAGTACAGGGGTGCTGTCTCAGCTCACTGCAGCCTCAACTTCCTGGGCTCAAGTGATTCTCCCGCCTCAGCCTCCCTAGTAGCTGGGACTACAGGCACGTGCTACTATGCCAAGCTAATTTTTCTATTTTTAGTAGAGATGGGGTGTTGCCATGTTGCCCAGGCTGGTCTCGAACTCCTGGACTCAAGTGATCTGCCTGCCTCAGCCTCCTAAAGTGCTGTGATTACAGGCGTGAGCCATCGCACCCAAAGTACAGGACCTTTTTATTGTATTTCTTTAAAGAATAAATATATAACCTGAATGTAATCAAGTCTTTAGATCTAATTCTCAGCTTGCAGGGAACACTAGGACAAATCCAAAAAGTAGGTCAGTAGGCACAGAATGGCCCCTTTCCAACAAGAAAACGTTATAAAAGTATTTTTGAGGAAACTGTTCTAGATTAAGAGAATAGAGGTATATTTTAGCTAAACACATGTAAACTTTGTCAGAGATAACTGGGGGGAATATGTAGAAGAATTGGATCAGATGATATTAAGGAATTATTGTTAATTTTGGTAGGTCTGATACTGGTTTTATAGTATAAAGTCTGAGTATCCCTTATCCAAAATGATTAAGATCAGAATGTCTTTTGGCATTCAAATTTTTTTGGAGTTTGGAATTTTGCCTATAATAATGAGACATCTTGGGGATGGGATGCAAGTCTAACCACAAAATTCATTTATGTCTTATACATACTTTATACACCTGGCCTGAAGGTAATTTCACACAATATTTTAAATAACTTTGTGCATGAAACAAAATTTTGACTGCATTTTTACTGCAACTCATCACATGAGGTCAGGTGTGGAATTTTCCACTTGTGGTGTTATGTTAGTGGCTCAAAAAGTTTTAGATCTCGGAGCATTTTGGATTTTGAATTTTTGGATTAATGATTCTCAACCTGTATACAGAAATGTCCTCATTTTAAAAAAGTGTATATTTATATGTTTGGTGAGAAAATATGTTTTTAAAATACTTCAATGAAAAGCAACGGGAAGATGTTTACTGTTATATTTAGGTGATAGGTATATGAGAGTTCATTACACTCTTCTATTTTCCTATGTTTACATTTTTCATTAATTAAAAAGCCATACCTAGAAAAGCCCAAGTCTTTCAAAAGCTATTTTCTATATGTACCAATCTTTAAAAAACAGGGTAACAAGTGTATTTATCACATTAAAATGTTGTCAAACAACAAAGCTAAAAATCTAAAATTTTCTGAATGTTATTTCTATATTTTATTTCAATTGTTTATGTTCATTGGGCTTACGATTCTATAAATAATTTGCAGTACCTATATTATAGCTGCCTAAATACATTTAGTAACATCAAGAGCTTATAAGCCTTTTTTTCTGAACATTTACTATATAAAAACATTCTCCCTACACCCCTACAAATACTTACTTGTTCTTAAGGTCTAGTTTAACTACCTCCTACTTGAGGAAGCCTTCCCAGTGCTCATGATCCAATAAACCAAGTTAGCACTTACCCAAGGCTCTATTATCATTCCTGTCATAATGTAACATACATGTGTTGGTATGTCCATCACTAAAGCATTTAGGAGCACAGGAACCCCGTTCATCAGCCCTCTCCTCTTCAAGTCCTTAGCAAGGCCCCTTGTTTCCCCACCCCCAGACCCATTCCTACCCCCACCTGCCTTATCTCTGGCAGCACTCTTTATTCTTGACTTCAGCACAGATACCACTTTTTCTGAGAGGCTATTCCTAACTGTCTAATGAAAACTAGGTTTCCCTTTACTCTTTTACCATGCTTTCATTTACAGCATCTATCACAATGATGACTGCATTTTCATTTGAACTTGCTTCTTAAACTTCACTGTCCCCCGTTAGACTATAAGCTCCAGGGGTACAGGAACATGTTTTTTCCCTCCTGGTACAAACAGTACTTAGTACAGTGCCTGGTACAAAGCAGAAACATTGTATTTAGTTGAATGAATTAATCCTATCTTCAGTACCCAGCTTTTAGTGAAGACTCGATACTTATTCAATGAATTGTCAAACTGCTAATAGTCATGAAATTAAAACAAAAATAAGACAGCTCATTGTACTCTAGTGAACAAGGGTCAGCAATGGTGCTTACAAATTTTCTCATCACCTCCCAAAATACTTATGCCATGTACTTTTCCCCAAATGTGACTTCATTAATTCAGCCAGTGACCAAGGTATCGTCAGATCAATGAGTAGATATAAAAACTTTACTGGAACAGCATGTTAGCAGCAGTGAACAGAGGCATGGCTGCCGAAGGTTTCCAAAACAAGCTGAGCATGAAGGATGCCATATGCTGTTGCCAACGCCTAGAACACGGTGACTAAAGACATGGCTGTCAATGCCCAGCACAGCCTCTGGCCTGCAACTATGTTCAGTGATGATGATAAACAAGGTGGTGACTTGGAAGGAATCCCTATGTCAAGTGAGAAAAAAAATGATGTCTGACCTCCTTGTATATGCAAAAAATACACCTTGAGTCCGTCAGTAAGCTGGAAGAAGTGGATGTTGAAGTTTTTCACATCGATAATGGGTCTCCAGTTGCTGATCAACCCATGGGGAAATAGCTGAACGGTTCTGAATCAAAGGTGATCATAATAGTGACATTAACATTGCAGAAAAAGTGCCTACCGATGACATGGTGAAAATACGTGACGGGCTTCTTGAAGGACTAGAGCAGTGTGTACTCAAAACAGAACAAGAAATCATGTCGGTTTATAAAATCAAAGAGAGGTTTCTCAGACAAACACATTGTTCATGAGGTAGAAAGAAGAAATATTTTAAAAAGCCACCTAGGAGAATGCCTCGTCTCTACAGGGTCCACTTCGTAGCCTCTCAACTGCTTCTTATGTTTCTTCTCACTGAAAAAAATAGTGTCCAGTAATCTTTACTCCAACAGCACCACCGGTGGGGACAGGAAACCTCCCGTGGCTGTTGCTGGTTGTAGCTGTTGTCTAACAGCTGGTGCAGGTAAAATTTTTTTTTTTTTTTTTGAGATGGAGTTTGGCTCTGTCGCTCAGGCTGGAGTACAGTGGCATGATCTCAGCTTACTGCAACCTCTGCCTTCTGGGTTCAAGTGATTCTCCTGCCTCAGCCTCCCGAGTAGCTGGGACAGCTATTGCCACCACGTCTGCCACCACACCTGGCTCATTTTTATATTTTTGGTAGAGACGGGGTTTCACTGTATTGGCCAGGCTGGGCTCGAACTCCTGACTTCAAGTGATCCGCCCGCCTAGGCCTCCCAAAGTGTTGGGATTACCGGCGTGAGCCACCACACCCAGTCTTGAGATTTAAATTCACCAGTATATACATATAATTAGCAAATAAATACCACAATGAAAAAAGTATATACAACTCTGGCTGGGTGCGGTGGCTGTAATTCCCACTCTTTGGGAGGCTGAGGCAGGCGGATCACCTGAGGTCAGGAGTTCGAGACCAGCCTGGCCAACATGGCAAAACCCTGTATCTACTAAAAACACAAAAATTAGTTGGGTGTGGTGGCCAGTGCCTGTAATCCCAGCTACTCAGGAGGCTGAGGCAGGAGAATCACTTGAACCTGGGAGGTGGAGGTTCTAGTGAGCCAAGATCACGCCATTGGACTCCAGCGTCGGCAACAGAGCAAGACTCCATCTCAAAAAAAAAAAAAAGTATACACAACTCAAGGTATTTAAACCTGAACCACTTTATAGATATTATAAATTAGAAAACCACCTACAATGCAACCAACAGCCACCAATACCAGGATGAAGGTCTGAATGGAAGCACAGTAGGTTCTTGCAACCTACCATGTCATTAATTGTATTACTTGCTCCTGAGACAGGAAGACTCATATAAGGTAATACGATACAAAATGTAGCTGATCGCACAAATGATGAAATAAAATCCTCCAATAGACAAATACTGCTTTGCTTGACAGTTTATTAAATACACTACATTTGTACCTTATTCTGTAGTTTTTTAAATTGTTCACACAGGAACTGAGTAAAAACGTACTTTATAGAAAACCAAGTGCAAAACTAAAATGAAAGAATGCACATATTGCACACATATTAAACTGCTGAAATGTTAGAACTTAATCTGTACAAGTACCTAATGAAGAAGGTTATGAAATATTAGGTGGTTCGAGTTTCTCAAATCTGGCACCAGACCATGACTTTGAAAGTGTTAATGTTGAAGTGTTGATGCAAAAATGTCTATTAACAAAACTGCTTAACAGTGTTTGAGAAACAGGACAAAAAAATTGTTTTTCTTTCACAGACACTTATCTAAATCAATTCTCTACAGACTCTCTCCCATTCAGAATCACTTGTGTAGACTGATGAGGCAAAAATAAATTCCTTTTAAAAACCAAAACTGGAGCCTATTTACAAAACATGCAAAGGGAGAATTTTAAGCAG